TACAGGCATGCGCTACCACGCCCGGCTGATTTTTGATTTATTGTAGAGATGAGGTCTCGCTGCCCAGGCGAGTCTTGAACCTGCGGGCTCAGGCAATCCACTCACCTCAGCCTCCCAAAGGCGCGGGATTACAGGCTGAGCCACCGAGCCTGGCTTATTTTTATTTTTGTTTGTTTTTTGTTTTTTGGTTTTTTTGAGTTGGAGTCTTACTCTGTCGCCCAGACTGGAGTGCAGTGGCTGCTCCCGGCTACCGCAGCCTCGACCTGCTGGGCTCTGGCGATCCTTCCACCTCAGCCTTCCGAGTAGCTGGAACTACAGGCATGCGCTACCACGCCTGGCTGATTTTTGATTTATTGTAGAGATGAGGTCTCGCTGCCCAGGTGGGTCTCGAACCCGCGGGCTCAGGCAATCCACTCACCTCAGCCTCCCAAAGGCGCAGGATTATAGGCTGAGCCACCGAGCCGGCTCTTATTTTGTTTTTTGACCAAGACAACATTGCCTGCTGTTCAGCCATTGTGATGTGACCAGGCAGCTTAATAATTTGTGTCTTAGTCCGTTGGTAGCTTGGGAATTTGAGGCCTGCTAAACCTGTATCCTTCCCTTAGGAATGCGTGAAGGAGAAATTGAATCTCTTACATGAATTTCTGCAAACAGAAATAAAGAATCAGTTATGTGACTTGGAAAGTAAATTACATAAAGAAGAACTATCTGAGGTAAGTCAGTTCTCAGCATCCCAGCTTCTAGAAAAATGTCTCCTTCCTTCTGACTTGTCTGTGACCAAGGAGGCAGGAAAGCCCCGAGCTCTCCTTGCTGCCTGATGAAGGAAGTGCATGCATTTTCTTGTTCCCTTGTTGCCACTTGTTGGCATCCTTTGATACTTACATCCTCCCTCCCTGCTACAGGAGCGCTACCTGGCTAAAGTCAAATCCCTGCTAAGTAAAGATCTGTCTCTGGAGAATGGTGCTCTCGCTGTCGGTCGGGAAGTGAATGGACGTCTAGAAAACGGGAGCCGGGCAAGGGGTGAAACCCGAAGAGCGGGAATGGCGGAGGCAGACAGCTCCCCTAAGCCCGCTTCCAAGCCTCGAACACCCAGGAGGAGCAAGTCCAACGGAGAGGCTAAGCGTAAGAGGAGCACTTTTCAGTCCCAAAGGAGGTTCTCGTAGCACAGAAGTGGGCAGGGGAACTCAGACACGGGTGTAGTCCCAGGCGGAGTTTCTGGTCTTGTTTCTTGTGTGTACTTCCCCACTAGTAAGCATCACACGCTTCCTAGCCAGCCTAGACACACAAGTCTTTAAATTCTGTCTTTGACCAGTGTAGAGCATTAGATCCCAAAACATGGCTAAATTTGTGAGAAGCATCAGGGGGCAGGCCTGCTAATGCTTATTACTTTTTTTTTTTTTTTTTGAATCAGAGTCTCACTCTGTCATGCAGGCTGGAGTGCAATGACACAATCATTACTATTATAGCCTCCACCTGCTGGGCTCAGGCAATCCTTCCACCTTAGCCTTCCAAGGAGCTGGATACTGGTGCATGCCATCATGCCCTGCTAATTTTTAACCTTATTGTGGAGACAAGGTCTTGGCATGTTGCCCAGGCTGGTTTCATGCCCCGGGCTCAGGTAATCCTCCCACTTCAGCCTCCCAAAGTGCTGGCATTATCGGCGTGAACCATCATGCCAGCCACCTTTTAAAACATTATATTCCATTCGAGACCCGTCTGGGCAACTTGGTGAGACCTCATCTCTACAATAAATAAAAAATCAGCCGGGTGTGGTAGCGCGCACCTGTAGATCTGGCTACTCGGAAGGCTGAGGCGGAAGGATCGCCAGAGTCCAGCAGGTCGAGACTGTAGTGGCCAGGAGCAGCCATTGCACTCCAGTCTGGGTGACAGAGTGAGACTCCAACTCAGAAAAAAAAAAATTATATTCCTTGTTAAGCTAAACATTTATTCTTCCACTTCTGCCCAGTTTGTGGGCAAACATGTGCTTCTGGAATTTTATTTTATTTATTTATTTTGAGTTGGAATCTCTCTCTGTTGCCCAGGCTGGGGTGCAGAGTCACAATTACAGCTCACTGCAGGCTTCAGCTCTTGGACTCGAGCAATCCTCCCAGCTCAGTCTCCCAAGTAGCTGAGACTACAGGCGTTCACCACCATACCTGGAATTTTAAATTTTTTGTAGAGACAAGGTCTCACTATGTTGCCCAGGCTGGTCTCGAACTCCTGACCTCAAGGAATCCTCCTTCCTTGGCCTCTCAAGGTGCTGGGATTACATCTTCTAGAAATTTGAATAACCAAAGAAAATGGGTCTTGATCTCAGGTCTGGTTTTCAGCCACTTCACCTTTTGGCTGAGAGGTTCTGTTTCCTTGCCTGGTGTAGGGATTTTCCCATCAATTGGGAGCTCACATGAAGTGGTACTAATTGCTGATATTAGCAAGCTGGTTAGTGACTATAATAAAAACCCCAGCATGCAGAGTCCTGGGAACCTGGGTTTGTGCAGTAGCCTGGGGATATTAACTGTTCTATTGCTGTGGGCTTTTCTATTCATTGTGGCTTCTGGTTACTTTGTTTTCTTTAACAGCTGAACCTTCACCTAGCCCCAGGATTACCAGGAAAACTACCAGGCAGACCACCATCACGTCTCATTTTGCAAAGGGGTGAGTATGGAATGAATCGACAGCTGCCTTTGCTAGGGGCCAGCTATTTCTGGTAAAACATGAATGGAATTTGTAGAGTGTAATTTGACAGTTCTGTCTTCCACGTTGTGTAGGTTTTCATCTTACAGTTTTGTCCACTAGACATTCATGAATAGAATCTCTGAAGACCTCATCTGTTTTTACTCTCAAAGGAAACATCTCCTAGACACAAGCTGAGTAGTATAATGAACCCCCAAACATCTTTTCACTTAGCATCAACAGTTATCAACCCACAGTCATCATTTCATCTGTACCCCACATACTCTGTCCCCTAACGAGGATTACATTGAAATATTTCCTTTTTTTTGTTGTTGAGTTGGAGTCTCACTGTTGCCCAGGCTGGAGTGCAGTGGCACGCTCACAGCCACTGCATCCTCCACCTGCTGGGCTCCGGCGATCCTTCCGCCTCAACCTTCCAAGTAACTGGAACTACAGGCGCGTGCCACCACGCCCGGCTAATTTTTTGATTTATTGTAGAGATGAGGTCTCACCAAGTTGCCCAGGCGGGTCTCGAACCCGCAGGCTCAGGCAACTTTGAAATATTTCTAGACGATGAGGTCTCTCTCTCTTTGATACCTTTTTCTTTTTTGTTATTCATCCTTTGCAATAATTGCTAACACTTAGCACACAGTCTCTTTTTTACATTTTCCCATTTGTGGTGAACAAACCATATGGCACACAAGCAACATTTGGTCTTTGTTCCCTGAACTTTGCAAGTTCTAGCTTCCTTCCCTCTTTTTTCCTTGCCATTTACATGAAGAAGTTAGTTCTTTTGTTCAGTGAATGTCTGGATTGGACCAGTCGCATCCTTGTGGTGTCACATGTCCCTTGTCTCATGTTTCCTATATGCTGATAGGGCTAGAGGCCTGACCAGATTCCAGTTTATTTTTTGAGGCTGGCTTCCTCATAGATGATGCTGTGTCCCTCCATCAGAGGTGTGTGGTGTCTCTTTTGTGACATTAGCAGCTGTTGATCAGCAGCTAAACCCATGATTTCTAGGGCTTGCAAAATGTCAATGCAATATTTTAGAACTGTCATTTGAAGAAACATTCAATTGTAAGTCTCTTTTGACATCCTGCAATGGGGAAGAAAGGAAGGCATCTATGCTCTGAAATTGTCCTAAAGAGAGTGCTTGTAGGAAGGAGGCATGTGGTCATTTTAGGCCACTGGAGGCCTAAGGTCTTGAGAACTGACGGTAAGCTTTACTGTGTGACAGCCCTGCCAAACGGAAACCCCAGGAAGAGTCTGAAAGAGCCAAACCCGATGAGTCTGTTGAGGAAGAAGACAAAGACCAGGTAGACTGGCATTTTTGTTTCTTAACTCCACTTTATTTTGGTATATTTACTGATGATTGTGAACAAATATGTGGCCTAGTCAGGTTCTTCAGAACTGATGGAATGTGTACATTTGTGTGTGTGTGTGTAGAGACAGAGAATAGTGGGAGTTTGTTTTAAGGAACTGGGTCACAGGATTGTGGAGGCTGGCAATGCAATATTTTGAAGTCTGCAGAACAGGCTGGCAGGCTGGAGCCTTGGAAAGAATTGATGTTGCAGCTCAAGCCTGAAGGCAGTCTAGAGACAGAATTGTATGTTATAGAGACACATTATCAGATTTTATAGACGTGTTCCATATAACATAGTATAGATGGGTTTCTGTGTACCCCTCTTTCCCCAATGATGACATCTTACAGACTGTAATACAACATAAACACCAAATTGACATTGGTACAGTTTCCAGACTTTATTTAGATGGCAGCAGTTTTTACATGTGTAGTTCTATGCAGTTGTATCACAGGTATGCATATATAGATTTGTGTAACCACCTCAAACAAGATATAGATCTGTTCCATCACCAATATTTTTGTCCCTTTTAAATGAAATAAACACAGGTATCTCGGAGTTTGAAAACCTTATGAACTTAAGGAAACTGTACTAGAGTATTCATCTAAGAAAAGAGCTAGTGTCCCATTAGTTGTCAGCATCACTTCCTGATGTGCATCTCAAGTTACCACTTTGGTTTTTTCTCTTTTTTTTTGAGTTGGAGTCTCACTGTTGCCTCGACTGGAGTGCAGTGGCTGCTCCCAGTCTCCACAGCCTCGACCTACTGGGCTCCGGTGATCCTTCTGCCTCAGCCTTCCAAGTAACTGGAACTACAGGCGTGCACTACCACGCCCGGCTAATTTTTTTGATTTGTTGTAGAGATGAGGTCTCGCCAAGTTGCCCAGGCGGGTCTCGAACCCGTGGGCTCAGGCAATCCACTCACCTCAGCCTCCCAAAGGCACAGGATTACAGGCTGAGCCACCGAGCCAGGCTGGTTTTTTCTAATGTTAAATAATTCCTGGACCAGGTGCAGTGGCTCATGCCTGTAATCCCAGCATTTTGGGAGGCCAAGGCAGGAGGATCACTTGAGCCCAGGAGTTTGACACTAGCTGGGCAACATAAATTTAAAAAAAAGAATTCTTGACATAAGATGGAGAATCTTTGATTCTTTTGTATGACATCACTAGACAATCTCTAGGAGGTAGTCACCCGCTGGCCTGTCTCCTAGGCCTGCCTTTAGTTTGAAGGTGGTGGGACATTAATACCAGACTGAGAGTGTTGATGTCCCAATACACTCAGTACTTGGGGAGATCTCCCCAAAAGCCTGACCCTGCCCTTCCCCACTGTATTTTTAACCATATCAAATGTATTTACTTCATACTTCGACTCATGCTTTTGGTGTTGATCTTCCCTTGAAACCAATAGTTTTGTGTTTTCTGTTCTTTCTTCTTTCCTTCCACACAGGATGAGAAGAGACGTAGAGTTACATCCAAAGAACTGTAAGAATAGTTACCAAACCTTTCTTGTTGATCTGTGAGTTGTGTAATCTTGATTATGAAATTGCTTTCCCAGAAAGTTTAAAAATGAGTGTTCTAGTGAGCTTCCATGGCAACCACAGACCTGTTAAGGATGCTGAATTTGAGGTCAGATTAACAACTTCTAGGTTCAGTTGGCATTTCCCTCCTTCACTGCAAAGAATGAATTGAGGGCAGCTAGCATTTCTTATTAGAACCAGATTTAAAAGTCATATTACATGTGAAATATTAAATGAATTTGTGTCTCAGGGATTGGGGCAGAAAGGGAGGGTCTTATGTAAAAAACTGCTTCTGAGGGAGGAGTCTGTGAGTCACACTTGGAATATGTGTTATTTTGCTTGACAGAGTTGCTAGACCTCTTCCTGCGGAAGAACCAGAAAGAGTAAAACCGGGAACATACACTGAAAAGGAAGAAGAGAGAGATGAAAAAGTAAAGGCTTGCTTCCTTGAAGTTGGTTAATTCTTCCTTAATCTTGTCCAGTTCCAGGAAGAGGGTGGGGGTGGGCAGGTGTAGGAACAGAATAGTTTTCACCAGTGATTGAAAGTGCTTGACTTTGGCTAAAACAACTTTTCTTTTCTTATCTTTTCTTCTGCTCATAGAAAAAAAATTTACTGAATTAGTATCATTAAAGACTCTTTTCTCAAAAAGAGTCATAAAAAGGTCAGTTGCAGTGCCTCACGCCTATAATCCCAGCACTTTGGGAGACTGAGGTGAGAAGATTTTCTGAGCCTGCGGGTTCAAGACCAGCCTGGGCAACTTGGCGAGACCTCATCTCTATGATAAATTAAAAAGAAAAAAATTTGCCAGGCATGGTGGCACATTCCTGTTGTTCTAGCTACTTGGAAGGTTGAGGTGGAAGGATTGCCTGAGCCCAGCAGGTCAAGGCTGCGATGGCCAAGAGTGTGCCATTGCCCTCCAGCATGGGTGACAGTGAGACTCCAACTCAAAAAAAAAGTCATAAAAAAAGGGAAACACCCACTTTATTAAAAGTGTAAACTAATAAAAACTCCTTAAAAGAAGTGGCCATCTGCCGGGCTCGGTGGCTCAGCCTGTAATCCCGCGCCTTTGGGAGGCTGAGGTGAG